TTTTTTTATCTGGGTGGCTCTTAGTGGGTTGTCCACGGAGCAGTTGATGTAGACATTGGTGCCAACCCTTCTGCTGAAGGTGCTGATGAGGGCGAGGGTGTTGATGATGCTGCTGTCAAGGTCGTTGACATTGTCGACACATTCAGGCTCCAGGTTAGTTTTATGCACAGTAAGATTATGCATTGTTTTTTTTTTGAATTCTGTGTTCTGTATTTAATGCCGTTTAACTTGGATAAAACAGGAGCAGCCCCCTTTTGATAAGAAGCAATTTGTTGCATACATCAAGAAGTACATCAAGCTGTTGACACCCAAACTCGATGAGGAGAAGCAACAGGAGTTCAAGAAGAGCATTGAAGGGGCAACTAAGTTCCTGCTCTCAAAGCTCAGTGACCTCCAATTGTAAGTTTAACGTAACATTCATGTTTGTTATGGGGAATTGTATATCACTGGAAATTGTTGAGTAGAGGATGACAAAATCTTGGTTCATTGAACTGATCATGAGTAGCTTTTGCTTATTGTAGAAGTGCAATCTCTCATCTGGAAGTAAGCAGATAATGACCTTCAAAAAATTATTCAAACTTGTTTCAAAAAATTAAGGAAGTGTGTGTTGATCCATTTGACTGATTGAGGTTTGTCTTCTTGTTCTAGTTTTGTTGGAGAGAGCATGCACGATGACAGCACCATGGTGTTTGCATACTACAAGGAAGGTGCCACCGATCCAACTTTCTTGTATTTCGGCCATGGTTTGAAGGAGGTCAAATGTTAAATAATGGAACTGTGATCACTGTGCTTGGTACTTGTTGTACCTCTACTTTTTCAATATTGTTGGTTGTTTGGCTTGATATTTGTACTATTGCTACTTCTTACTCTTGCATATTGTTATGTTGGAACATAGTATTAGATTGCTGGATAATTAAAAACAGTTTTGATCGAAGTGATCAGTATTTTGAATTTATTCTTTATGCTTCCTGTGCTGTGAAGAGCCTTATTGGTATTTGGTAGTAGGGACATTACGCGTTTCCCTTTTTTAGCATACGATCCGCTTTTCTCAAGAGAATTCTTTTCTTTTTCCATTTTTTTTT